TGCAAGCCGGGCGACGCCGGCCGCTCGATTCCGAGCAGTGCTTCGTCGCTCCGTCTCTCTCGCACCCACACGGGACGCCTCAACGAGCGCGAGAGAGACAGGGCGACGAGGGCACTGTTCGGAATCGAGCTGCTGGCCGAGCCGCGCGGCCTTGCGACGCCCAGCCGAGCGAGCACCGCGCCATGGCTGGGCCTGGCTGGGCCTGGCTGGGCCACGCGCCGCCACCGAGGGAGGCACGTCGGCGCGCACGTCCGCGTCAACACCCATGCCCGCGAGACCAGCACGCCGCCGTGCACCGCTGGGCGCGCGTCCAGCCGCCGGACGTCAAAGCGCCGCGCGTCCCCCAAAGGACATGAACTAGTGCGTCACAGTCGAAAGCAGCAGCACGATTCCGAAAGTCGTTTTCGTCGCTCTGTTTCTCTCGAACAGTGAGGGGCGCCCCGTGAGAGCGAGAGAGACAACGGACGGAAACGACTCTCTGAATCAGCTTGCCGTAAAAACTGCAACCCCCGCGGATTTGGTCGCTATACTCTGCATCAACTTCTAGCTGCATCGGCGCGAAGGAGAGAGGGGGCGGCCACACTCTATAAAAGGTTAGGTTAGATGGAGTGACGTCATTAAGGGACGGCCCCAGCTGAGCCAAATGGCCCAGCCTTGCGGCGACCCTGGTGCGTGACCGAAGCGCAAACACGGCCCTGCAGTGAACTGCGGCAAGGCAGTGCACTTGGCAGTGCAGGCGTCGGGTCATGAACCGGAGCTCGTGACGTCAGCCAGGTCACTCTCCCCGCGAACACCGCGTGCACCGCGAGCCGCGGCGGTAGGCAACCCAACCGACACGAACCGGAGGCACTGACCCCGCGAGGGCTGCTGGGTCGGCCGCCGATGATGACCGCGTCGGGCATCATCATCGCGGAGGTCGCTAAAACTAGAGCCTCGCAGTCACACTGTTGGCAGACTTGATGGAGAAGCTGCACGTAAGAACAGTGGACTGGTGCTCAGCTCTGCTGCAGTCTCAGCACTTCACGAAGAGCACGCGCGTATCGTTGGGAACGAAAAGCGCGACGGCGCTTCTAGTTACAGAGTTACAGTACAAGACGCGCGCCACACAACAAACAGAGCATCCGCCGCCGAGCAGGAGGGCCGTTGACCGGGTTGGCCAAGTTGACCATGTTGGCCAGGTTGACCAGGTTCAACGCATCGTCCGCAGGGTGCCCTGATGACCAGGTTGACCAGGTTGACCAGTTGACCAGGTTGGCCACGTTGACCAGGTTGACCATGTTGACCAGGTTGCCCAGGTTGCCCAGGTTCAACGCATCCTCCGCCAAACAGGGGCCGTTGAGCAGGTTCAACGCATCCTCAGCAGGGTGCCCTGATGACCAACCGGGTTGGCCATGTTGACCAGGTTGGCCATGTTGACCAGGTTCAACACAACCTCCGCCAAACAGGGGTCGTTGGCCAGGTTCAACGCATCCTCAGCAGGGTGCCCTGATGACCAGGTTGACCGGATTGGCCATGTTTACCAGGTTGGCCAGGTTGACCAGGTTCAACGCATCCTCCGCCAAACGGAGCCGTTGACCAGGTGGGCCAGGTTGGCCAGGTTGACCAGGTTGGCCAGGTCGGCGGCTCCGCTTCCGCGACCGGAGCCTAGCCGCAGTCGTTAGGGTCGGTTAGGGGCGCGCGAGAAGAGCGAAGCCGAGCCGACGTGCGTTTGCGTGACGAGGCGATGCGTGACGCAGGCGGGCAGCGTTTCGCGCGCGTCGGCAGAAGCGGCTCGGCCAGGCCAGGCGCGCTCCACTTGCGGCTCATCGACGAATCATCACGCCGATGATGGGCTAGGCCGGCTAGGCCGGCTGGGCCGGCTAGGCCGCCATGGGGCAGGTCGGGGTTCCATTCCGTTCCCGCCGCATCAGCGCCGCGTGGCCGCCCTAGTCGCGTGCAACGGCTGCGCGGAGCGCCCATCCCGCGCGCCTGGACAACCACCCTATGCATGCCTACAGTAGACTGATTCCGAGAGTCGTTTTCGTCGCTCTGTCTCTCTCGCACCTATACGAGACGCCCCATGAGTACAAGCGAGACAGAGCGAGCGACAAAAACGACTCTCGAAATCAGTCTGCAGGCTTCCGAACAGTGCAGCCGCGCGTTGTCCCCACGACGGCACACCCAACGAGTGCGAGACGATGGCCGACCCCGGGCCGCGAAAATGATATCAAACGGAAACAAAAGGAACACAACGGTAACTTGGCAGGGTAGGACCTGCCGGGAAGGGTCGGGTAGACCGCGCCTCGATGTATGTCGGCTTGGGACATCGGAGCAGACCGTGCAGGCCGAGCAGGCCAGTAGGGTGACCGGGCAAATAATAAAACAGCGCAGCGCCCTCCTGTGGCATCGAGTGACAGTGAGTGTGAGTGTGCCTCTGTGTGTGTGTGTGTGTGTGTGTGTGTGTGTGTGTGCCTGTGTGTGCGTGCGGGTGCGGGCGGTGTGTACATAGCGGCAGCCGTGCACTCGAGCCGTCCCGCGAGGCCGAAATTGCCTTGTTGCGTTTTCAGGACACCGGGGGAGGGGAGGGGGGAGTCGTGAATCGCAGTTCCGAACTTCCAAACAGCGTCCTCGCCGCGCTGTCTCTCGCGCACTCATGGGGCGTCGCGCAGGGGTCGCAGGGGTGCGAGAGAGACGGAACGACGAGGACGCGACAGCCCGCCGCGCGCGTCCGTGACTGGTGCCTTCCTGAAGCCGCCACAGACACAAGACACACGACACCAAAGAGCACCTCGCGGCCCTGCGTCAAGCAAGTGTCTGTGTGCGTGTGTGCCTGTGTGCGTATGAGCGCGCGTGCGTGAGTGTGGGTGAGTGCTGAGCGCGCTTCTCGGAAGACAAAAACAGAGACCTTGCATTGCAGGAGTGGGCCGGCCGGACTGACTGAGTGACGCGGGACGCGGCGACGCGCGCCTCGACGGACGAGCCTCCCTGCCGCCGAGCGACTCCGAAGTGTCTCCGTCTCTCTCGCAAACCTGCGCAACGCCCTACGAGTGCGACGGAGACAGTGCCTCTCTCTGGACGCTGTGTGTCCCCGAGGTGTCGTTGATCGACCGGGAGTCTCAAGCAGACGTTGCGCGGGCCACGGGGGTCGGGCGCTTCTCTCTCTCTCTCTCTCTCTCTCTCTCTCTCTCTCTCTCTCTCTCTCTCTCTCTCTCTCTCTCGCACGCAACGCACATAGCGCCATCTCTCTCCTGCCGTGCCAATGGTTGGATCTCTGAAGAGACCCCTGATGTAAACATGATTCTGAAACGGAAGAGGCAGAGACGGGGAAGGCCTTACTTGAAGGCCCTTTCTGAACTCGAGTCCACGAAGCACGAAGTGAGCGTGCCAGCCTACAGTGCTATGCGTCCCGTCGCGCGACCTAAGGTCTTGTTTATGGAAGCAGCTTCCACACGCCCCCTCTCCCCGCGCCCCCTTGATCCGCCCCTCGCCGCCTCGGAGCGCCTCTGGCAGCCTCTGGGCGAGCGACGCGCGGGACGGCACTCCGGGCGTGGCGTTCCGCGAAGACCCGCCTGCTTGCTCCAGCGCCTGCCAGGTCGGCACAAAGGGCGGGGCGGGGCGAGGCGGGGCGGGGCGGGAGCCGGAAGGCCGGCAGGACGAAGAGGACGCCTCTGGCGAAAACACGGTGTCACAAAACAACGCGAAAAACTAACGGCAAACAATGGGCGGTTTTCCAGCTGACCCCGGCCGGCCGGACCCTCAAAGCCCCGAACCCCAACACCGCGGCAATGCGGCCGTCGTGGCGCCCGGTAATCCGATTTGCACGCAAACACGCCAGCAGCCTCCCCTCGCCGGCCCGAGAATAGTACTGCGTTATACGTACACCGGAATTTTAAAAGAGAAGCACTGGATGTGAACCAGGTGGATGCGAAATTTGCTCACCGTGGGCACAACCTCCAAGTGAAACCACTGACCCGAGAAGTGTCCAGGCCACAATGGCGTGCCCCTTATTGGCCACTAGACAGCCGCCTGGAAGGTAGGCAAATTGCGTCACATTCCCCCTGTAAGCAGGCAAAAAGCATGGCCTGACCCCCACCCCCACCCCCTTTCAAAATTTCTGCGCACGCCACTGCCCAGGCGGCAAGGCCCTGCGGCGCGCTGCGGTTTGTTGGAGGCCGTGGGGGTCGGCAGCATGGCCAGGCCAAGGTGTACGTAGACGCCAGGCGTCGATTGGCGGAACGGCATGGCGAATAGCCTGTTTGAAGAGACGCGGCACTACTACTATTCGAGTCCTATTTTAGAGGAACTGAAGCGCTCAAAAGGCGGCCCGCGACAGGCACCGCATTCCAGACTTGGCCCGCGGGGCTCGCGGCTAGCAGGCAGTCCTTGCGCAGGCCTTGCGAAATCCTTCTCAAGTCCTCGTCAAGTCCTTGCTAAGTCCTGGCGAAGTCCTTGCGAAGTCGCATCGCGGAGTGGTCGACGCCTTGGCACACCTCGGCACGCCTAGCCTTGGCCTAGACTGGCGGCATGCTGCTGAAGGTGCACCGCCGTGCCAGCCTCGCCTGTCCAATGAACCCCCAGCAGCACGCGGCGCGCTATCGGCCCACCCCGCCCCGCCCCGCCCCACCCCACCGCCCCTTATCGCAGCCCCACGTGGTGCCCGCCCCACCCCGCCCCGCCCCGCCCCGCCTTGTCTAGGCCCTATCAACACCTCTATCGCGGTCGTGACGTCAGCAGAATAAGGTAAGAGGGGAGGGGCGCTATCCTGCCCTGGCCATTCACGTCGCGAGTGAGAGAGACAGGACAAAAACAAAGCCGGCGTGGTGCAGGACATCGCGAGTGCATCGAATCGACGCCCCGCGATAACGCCTCGGCGGGGGGGCGTACCTGGCGTACCTGGCGCACAGTCACAGTGTGGGGCTGGCAACGGCACCGGGCCACCGCCACCCCGAGGGTGCGGCGCACGAGACTGCCGTGTTGGCACAACAGCGCAACGAGTGCAACGAGGTGTGCGGCGGACTCACCTGGGCAGGCTGTGGTGGTTGGCGACCTGCTGCTGGGTGAGCCCGGACCACGACGGCAGCAGGGCGTGGCCCTGGCCGTAGAGGGCGTCGTCGGGGGACGCGCTGCCGGCGGGCTGCCCGGGCTGCAGCGGCGTCAGCTGGTCGTACTGGGCGTCCTCGGCGTCCTGGCCCGTCGACGGCGAGCCCTCCCTGCTGCCTTGCAGCTCGGCGTGGCCGGGCAGCGTCGGCAGGTACTCCACGTGCTCGGCGTGCTGGCCGTTGTGCAGGTAGCGCGCCGTGTTCTCCACCACCACGCTGGCCTGCTGCACCTGGGCCTCGCAGTGCTTCTCCGTCTTGAGCACGCTGATGACGTCCTCCAGGGGCCCGCTGTGGCCGTGCACGTCCATGAGCGGCGAGTACCCGATGTAGTCGTCGTGCAGCTTGGCCGCGTTCAGGTGGGGGAACAGCGGGGGTAGCGACTGCCTCATGCCGGTGGCCGCCAGGTCGCCGCCGTCGAAGTGCTGCTCGCTGTCGGCGTGGTGGTGATGGTGGTGGTGGCCGGCGTCCGCGCTGCCGGGTCGAAGGCGCTGCAGCTCTCTCAGGTGCGGCGACGGAGACATGTCATGGTGCGGGTACAGCTCGGAGTGGAAGGTGTTGACGAGCACGCCGTCGCTGGAGAGCAGCACGTACCGCGCGCCGTGGACGTCAGCCTCCTCACCGTCCTGCTGGTGTGGTTCGGCGTGGAGTACTCGGAGGTCGCGCGCGCCGTAGTCCAGCTCCTGGTCGTCGAGGTCCGTGATGCCGTGCGCCCGGAGATCCGTGGCGGGAGACTCTTCGTCCTGCACTGCGTGCGGGTCGGGGGCTGGCTCGCCGGGACCGGGCCCCCCGTCCCCCGGGGCCCCCGCCGCAGCCCCCGCCACTCCCCCGGCCCCGGCCTCGGTCCCCATGGCGGCCGCGGCGTCGTCCCCGTACCGCAGGCGCGGCTCGCGCGGCTCGCTCTGCTGGCTGTGTCGGGGAGGGGGAGGCGCCGGGGAGCCGTCCTCCGCCAATGGGGACTCGGGGGGCGGGGCGAGGAGCTCGCCGCTGTCGCCCTCTGGCGGCGCCACGTGGAAGCTGGACTCGGATTCCTCCTCTGCAACATGGAGAGGAACGGCGGTGAGACAGCGGCTTGGCCAGGGGCCGGGAAGCCCCATTCGAAAAACAGTGCCAAACAGGTCCTTGCAGGATTGCGGGTTACTTGACCGCCACCGCGCCTAGGCCCGTCACCCACTGAATAGACCCGCGGGCGAGGTTGGCGAGGTTCGCGAGGTCACTGAGGCAACGGAGCGATTACGAAGGATAGTTTGATCGCTCTGTCTCGCGCCCCTGCGGGACGTCCCATGACGACGACAGAGAGAAGAGCGACGAACCGAAACGCTCCTCCTGACCTTGTTCCTAGTGGCGGAGTGACGCATGCATGACGCGCGTTGCGTGTGCGTTTGCGATAACGGGCGAGGGTCTTAGCAAATTTATTTCCTCTAGACGCGAGGACATTTCGCACAAGTGTAGTTCTGCACGCTGCTACGATCGAACAAGTGTCGTTTATCGGGATATTTCTGTTTTCTCCAGAGTTCGTCGTCGGTATCACCTACCAGAAGCCCCCTCCCCCTTTTCCCCGCTTCCCTCGGGGAGCACACAGCAGTAGGCTCACCTGCCCCACCACGGCCACGGGGTGCCCCGACCACCTAGAGACAGCGCTATCTTTATGGGATGTCATGGAACTCGTTAACAACCCCCCAGTGGCATCCGCGGGAGAGGTCACTCATCGAGGTCAGGGAGGAGGAGGAGGAGGAGAATGAGGGAAAACTCGCCAGAGGCGGTAGTCGAACCCTGCGGCGGCGCGAGGGCGTGGCGTGGGCGGACTACGTATTACGGAGAAGTGCGTCAAGTACACCGAGACTGTGGGGGCACGTTTCCCAGAGTCATTTAAACGTCGACTTTTTGTTCCGGCAGCAGCACACGCCCCGCCGCCCCCAGCAACGCGCTGCAACGCCCCCGCGCCTTCCCCAAACCGAGCGGCCCCACTCATTACCCCGTGTCACTCGGTCCCGTTAAAACAAGCAGCGTTATTGTTTCTTTGGGAAGCCAAAGTTTGTCCTGCGTGCCCAGAGAAAACAATCTGTTTTCGTCCTGTCAGCATGTCAGCCGCCGAGGGCCGACCGGCCCCGCCCGGACTGCCGCACTGCCCGGCACGCCCCAAACCCGGCCACCACCCGACAACAGTCACAGTCGTCGTCTGGTCCGGACCTGCAGACTGATTCCGAGAGTCGTTTACGTCGCTCTCTCTCTCTCTCGCACCTACATGGGACGCCTCATGAGTGCGAGAGAGACAGAGCGACGACTCTCGGAATCAGCCTGCTGCACCCCTCCGCCCTCCGGTCTGCAGCAAACGAACAGGCGGGCGGCCAGGCCCAGCGTCAAAACAAGCCTTCAAAGAAGTGTCAAAAACGTCCAGAAGCTCCAGAAGCCAGTGCGGCTGGAGTGGGCGGTGCATGTGTCGAGGCAGCCGGGCACCGTTAGCTTCGATAAGGAGTCGAGCTGCTTGGACCGCGACCGCGAACGCAAGCAGCAAGGAAAGGGGCGACGCGACGGCACTGGCGACCTCCCCCCCCCCCCCCACACACACACACACAGACTTCCGGAACAGTTCAGACCAAGACGAGAGTGGTATGCCATCCACCGCACGGGTTTGAACCGCGAACCGCCCGCGCCGCACCACGTCACTTTGGCCATGGCTCATTTCCGGCACGGCACGGCACGGCACGGCACGGCACGGCGCGGCACGGCACGGCGTGGCGACGCGGCTTTTCTATCTCGGCGAGGCACTACTTTTGCTCCAGCCAGCGATAGAGCGGCTGGCGCGCTGGCGGTGGCGGCTCCGCCCGGCCAGGTCGTCGACCAGACGCCGCCGCGGCCGCGATGCCGCGATCGGCGGCGACCAGTGCGCGGTCGCCGTCGTGGATTCCGCACGCCCGCGAGTCCGTGGGTGCTGGCCTGAACTGGAACTGGAACTTGAACTGGGCTGCTCAGTTTATGTACGGCGGTAATGCAAATTTATTCAAAAATGTTTCTCTTTCTACTTAGAACCACAATGACCCCTGGCGCGAGGGGCGACTGCGGGACTTGACTGGTGGGAACCGGGGGCGTTTTGTGAGTCGCCAAGGCCCACATGGGTGTTGGATTTGGCGCGGGGGCGGCGGGGGGGGGGGGGGGGGTGGCAGTGCGGAGCGACAGGTCGACGGCCCCACCCCGTCTGGCCCCCGTGTCCCACTCAGCAGGCCGAGTCTGAACGTTGCTTTCGTCGCTCCGTCTCTGTCTCTCTCGCTCGCATTGGCCGTTCCACGAGGGTGCGAGAGAGACAGAGCGAAGTCGAAGAGGCACTGTTCGGCCTCAGCCTGCAGCTGCGGTCGTTAGGGTGGCCCCATCTACGCCAGCCAGCCCAGCCAGCCGGCTGTAGCCCCCGGCCACGGGGACGGGGGGCCGCGGGGCCGCGGGGGCCGCGAGGAGGGAGGGGGAGGGGGAGGCATCGGCCACCATGCGCCCAAAGCCACCCCATGGGAATCATCCTACATTTTTCGAGGAAAAAATAAATAAAATGAAAACAGAGCAATAATGTTACTGTCTCAAGCTATCGAGCTTGTGATAAGCGCAGACCAAAAATCCCGTGACAGATCAAAAGCTACGCAATCAATTTCGATCTACTGGGCTAGTATTGGGGCCACCTGGTAGCGTGCAGTAACAGAGGGGCTCCTGCGGCTCTCCGAACAGAGAGCCTGGCAAGGGGCGTAACCTGTACACATCGAAACGAACCAGACTACGAGAGAGAGAGAGACAGAGTGCGTGTGTGTGCCGGCAGCAGCGGACACAGGACATGTCTGCTGTGTGTATAATGTCACTTGTGCAGAGTAATGAGAACCCGCCACCGCCGGCGTCGAAGGGCATCTGGAGTACTGCAGTACCACACATCAAGTACAAAAAGTGATTTTGTGAAAAAATGAAGGGAGACATAAGATATAGTCTGCGCCGAAAATTTTGGCGCAAAAGTACTGAAAATATTCATAAACGCCAACTGAATAATGAAGGCAAACTCGCGAAAATTGGAGCGAGGTCGCCGGGACCCGAGACGACGGCCGGCGGGGCGAGGCGGAGCTGAGATCTAGCGGCGGGCGCGGAAGGCGTTCGCGGGCAGCGCGGGCAGCGCGAGGTCAAAACGCGAAACGCGCGCCAAGAGCTTCCGCCGTTGGCCGCAGGAGGGCGCCGCCTGCCGGACGGCCCGCGGACTAACGGCCAGCAGACTGATTCCGGGAGTCGTTTTCGTCGCTCTGTCTCTCTCGCACCTACACGGGACGCCCCGTGAGTGCGAGAGAGAGAGAGAAAGAGCGACGAAAACGAATCTCAATCAGGTTTGCGGGAGTACCCCAAGTGCAGTGTTCCGTCGCTCTGTGTCTCTCTCGCACCCGCGTGCGCATGAGTGTGACTGAGGCGTCTCGTACGACGGGGTCGTCAAGAACAGGGAGGGCGTCTCCTGGAGGGCAGGCAACCCAACGCACACCAGTCAGCTGTTTTGCGCCCCGGAAGGCGCTTCCGTCGCTGTGCGTCTCTCTCGCACTCACGGGGTGTCTCGTCTCGTACCCTCGGAATGGGTCTCCTTGGCGTAATCCAAGGCGCGGGTTCCCGTGCGTTGGGTTGCCTTCCCTCCGGGCGCTCAATTCTCGTGCCATCATTCGCAGAGACAGATATAGGGGAGCAGCAGCCACACACGTAGCAGGCTCCGTCCATACAGTGGACCCTCCAGTCGCCACTCGCGGCAGCAACGCCGCAGCGACGAGGCGAGCACCCACCTATCGCCATGTGTTTGCGAACAAAGGACTGACCTGCTCAATTCTAGATAATTTCCCTATCTAAATTTTCTATTGGTTGACAGAAGGAAGATAGGCGATATCGGCCAAGGCGCGGAGGCAGGGCGCCTATTGCCATAATGACGATAAGTAGGGGGCGCACCACGAGCACCACGAGCACGGCAGCCTTTACACATACGGGGAGATAGTCATTATCTGTTAGGACAAGTAGCTCACAATGTAGGCAAAAAGCGAAAGTGATCTTCGGGACGGGTTCTCGAGCCGCCAGCGCGCGGGCGGCGTAGCGTATCGTCGGATCTCTGTGACAGTGTCCCAGTCAGTTTTCTGCTCAGCCCGGACGATTAGAATGAGTGTAACTCTGCGCAGCCCTGTGAGTTTTTCGTTTGCATAAGTTAATTTTATTGTTAACGAGTCGAGCACGGGGAGTTCCTTGACTTGAACCACTTGATGCTCGCACAGTGGGCCAGAAAACCGGCGGAGGCGGTAAAAATTCTGGACGCGTTTTGAGCTCCAGTCGCTGAACAGGACTCGAACCGAACGTGTGACCCCACCAATGGATTCCTCATTCGGAGAGCAATCTATTGGTGAGGTCACACGTTGGATTCGAGACCCACTTAGCGACTCCGGAGCTCAAAAGAAGTCTTGAGTTTTGGCCGCCTCGACCGGTCTTCTGGCGGTGCAGCAGAGGAGTCATTTCGTCACTCTGTCTCTGTCGCACCCATAAGGGCGATCCGCAGGAGTGCGATAGAGACAGACCGATGAAGCGAGTCTTCGGAATGGCGCTGCAGCAGATAAACTTCATTCACAGCGCGTAGGGCGACACGGGGCAGGCCGTCGGCAGGCCGGCAGGGTGGCCGAACAGCTGAGCGCTAGATAAACGCGGTGGTTCTGCCGGGCGCATTGCAGAGCTCCGTCTCTCTCGCACTCGTGGGGCGTCCCGTACGGGTGCGAGAGAGACAGAGCAATGCGGCCCGCTGCAACCATTACCGCTTTGGCTCCGCGGTCTCCGGCGCGCTCGCCGCCGGGTCTGCTGTCCGCGGCGAGCAGCGACGAGTGGAACAGTGGAGTGGAGCCGGCGAGGCGACAGCATTTTAAAAACGGCCGCCAACGCTATTTTCGGTCAAAGTTTCCACGGCGGGCGAGGGCGGGCGGACTGTCGCCGAAGGCGGTAAGGCAGTACCCATTGCACAAAACGCAGTTGTTCCGGGGCACCCTGTACCCGCACTACCGACGG